GCCTAATAGATCACCAAGCCCAACCCAACCCATCCCCACCATGCCCACTAACCACGTCCACAGGAGCCACATCTCCACGGCTCCTGAACACCCCACAACTTCTGCCACCAGGGCACCCGCCTCAAGCATCAGTGGGCCTACGCTGCCTCTAGTGTTAGTTTTATCTGCAGTGTGTTTGATGAAGCCCTTTCTGTTGTCCTTGACCCCCTCTTGCAAGGTTAACCTTGCAGCCTTCATGGAAGGAGGAACGACTCTAGCGACCAACCACAGGCGCCTGTAGTTCAGCAGATCAGAGCAACGCCACCATGTGAGAACCATGACTTTGGTCACGGGCCAAAACTTGAGATGGCCTGAAAGTCAGCACTCAATCACAGAATCAAAGGGGTAGGAAAGGATCTCAAGAGATCATTGAATCCAATCCCCCTGCCCAAGCAGTTCCGTACAACAGGTCGCACAGGTGGGCATCCAGTTGGCATTGAGTATCTCTCTGGTGGAGACCCAACTTCTCTGGGCAACCTGTTCCAGCGCTCCATCACCCTTACTGCAAAAAAGTTCTTCCGTGTGTTAGCACAGAACTGCCTGTGTCCAGCTATTAGGCTGTCACTCCTTGTCCTACTGCTACACACCACTGAGAAGGGCCTGGCCTCATCCACCTGCCTCCCACCTCCCTTTAGAAATTTATAAGCATTTATCAGCTCCCCTCTCAGTCTTCTTTTCCCCAGGCTGAACAGCCCCAGGTTACTCGGCCTTTCCTCATACAAGAGATGCTCCAGGCCCTTTATCATCTCTGTGCCCCTCTGCTGGGCTCCATCTAGGAGATCCTTGTCTTTTTGGAACTGCAGAGTCCAGGGCTGGATACAGGGTTCTAAATGTGGCCTCACCAGGGCAGAGTAAAGGGGGAGGAACATCTCCCTCAACCAGCTGGCCACGCTCTTTTTAATGCACCCCAGGATCCCATTGACCTTCTTGGCCAGCAGGGCACACTGCTGGCTCATGGCCGACCTGTCGTCCACCAGGACCCCCAGGTCCTTCTTTGCAGAGCTCCCCTCCAGCAGCTCACGTCCCAACCTCTACTGATACCTGCGGTTATTCCTTCCCAGGTGCAAGACTCAACATTTGATCCTGTTAAACCTCATCAGGTTCATCCCTGCTCAACTCTCCAGTCTGTCAAAGTCTGGTTGAATGGTAGCACAGCCTTCAGGCATGTCAGCCACTCCTCCCAGCTTTGTATCATCACCAAACACGCTGAGGGTGGACTCTATCCCTTCATCCAGGTCATCAATGACGATGTTGAACAAGACCAGACCCAGCACTGAACCTTGGGGAACACAGGTATCCAACCAGAGAGCAGTTCAGCAATCATCGCTGCATCGCTCTCAGCACACGTGGGTGCATCCCGTTGGGGCCCGTGGATGTGAGCGTTGATTTTGGCTACGTGCTCCCTAACCAGACCCACCTCAACCAACGGAAAGCCTTCCTTTCCCCAGACACTCTCTCTTACCTGCAGGGTTTGGGATTCCCAAGCGCTAGACTTAGCATTACGCACCGAAGCAAAGCAGGCATTCAGAATCTCTGCCTTCTCAGCATCCCCTGTTACCAAGGCACCCACTTCATTCAGTAGGGGACCCACATCTTCCCTGGTCTTCCTTTTACTGTTGACATACTTTAAAAAACCTCTTATTTTGTTGTCCTTTACCTCCTTTGCAAGGTTTAATTCCCAGAAGGTCTCTGCCTTTCTCACTGCATCCACAGAGGCCCTGACAACATTCCTATAGTCTTCCCAGGTGGACAGGATTCTGTTCATCCAGGAGTTCCTTCCTCATCCACACAGGATGATAAACTTGGGGACTGGTATCAATATCCCAAGCCCTATTTATTTTGCTCTTACAGAAAATTTAGCCTATCTGCACACAGTGCTTCAAGGACAGAGAAGTCAAAGTGCTCTGCATTTGTTCATCTATTAATCCAAATTTGTACTTAATACTTACCCTAAGCTTAGCAAACGTTTCAGAAGAGCTCACTATTCATTTTAATAATGCCATATGAACTTATTACTTCATGATTATCTGCAGCAGAGCTAAAACTTAGAAAGCTGTCAGCACAGCTGCTTCTGGGGCAGGCTGCTGGATAATTCCACCCTGAAGTTAACACCAGCTCCCATTTGCAATTAGTTGGCAACCTTTTCTCCTTCCCTTTCAGTTCTCATCTTTCGCTTGAAAACATTTCAGGATCAGTTAAGGTGAAAATGTGATTGCTTTGTATTTGCAAAGGCTTTGCCATCGCTTTTAAAACCATCTGGACCAACTTCTTAACACCTGACTGACGCCTCCAGTGGCTCCTCAGTGCAGCATGGCCAGCTGTCATTGCCCCATACACGGGGGGCACCCTGAAGAGCTCTTCCTCACACCATTCAGCCTCTGAGGGTCGTCACATCATATGCAGCACTTCCACTAAATCAAGCCCTGACCCATCCGACAGCAGGCAGAAATTCAGCATGCAGTGAATACCTGGATTTCGTAAACAGGTTTGGAGGAAGGAATAGCAGCAAATTCCCGGTAGTCAAACTTCTTTTCAGACATGGACTAGAAGGGACAGTAAATGAGAAGAGAGAGAAAAGAGAGAGTGAGGAGAGAGGAGTGGATGGACACACAACAGCACCCTGAGTGATCTATGGAGAGTTAGCAGCAAAGCATCATTCACAGTTAGTGTCAACGGTGTCTGGATCCAGCCTCTGGGAAAGAAGGCATCTCAGGGACACTGGGGCTCTGCCTTTTGTCTGCCCTGCTCTCAGGGTAGGTGCTCCAAGCTGCATAGAAAACACGACGTGCTCCAGTGAGCTGCACATCTGCACTAGCTTAGGTAAGAACCCTCTCTGTATGGAAAAAAATCAGCAGCAAGATTCCTGACAGCTCCAGCACAGCTGACACTTAATTCAGAGCTGGTGTGTGACTTTGGGCAGAACCAGGTCCCACATTCTGTTGTACCAATTTTGACAGTTCTCTGCAACGACGTCCTGCTGCATTTATAGAGCACTTAGAAAAAGTGAGATGCTGATTTCAGCTCAAGTGTTTGGTTTCGTGTTACTGAGAAGAGAATAAAACAGAGAAGGGGGAAACAGACATTGCTGCCTGTTTGTACAAAGGGGATGTCTCTAGCAAAGGGCAGAGCTCCAGCCACAGTGCCACAGCTCTGCCTCAGGCTGAGTATTTACATAGGGACCTCGTAGCCCAGATGCACGATCCACACCCAAGGTGAGTAACGGAGAAATCCCAAGCTTACAGAGAGAACAAAAGCAAGCAGAACGTCTCATACCAGCCTTCCTGGTGAAGTGACGTTCCTGGGACTGCAATCTGCAAAAGATGACACAAAAACACTGTTCACTGAACGTCTGTATTACATGCAACACACACACATGCCTGCCCCTTCCATTCAGCAGTTGTTTAAGTGTGATAAAGGACCAGACTCACAACAGACACTCTCAAAACAAATGCCTCTTTTTTTTTTCCTTTCTTTTTTTCTCTTTTCTCTTCAACTCTGCTCTTGTTTCCCACAACCATGTTTTGGTATCTCAAGTTTTCTGTTTGTTAGAAACATCTCCTGTGCTCAGAGATCCTTCCAGGTCCTTCCAGCCTCAGCTGAATGAATAAACTGCATCCTGCCCATCTTCTTTCAAGCCAATTAACCTGCAGAAGCATTAACTCTTCCTCAGAAGCTGCTGTACAGTACCTTCCAGTGGTGTTGGTGACGGGGTAGGAACGGGTGAAGGTGACTCTGTCACCTGCTCCAGAGTGCTGCGCTTCTTTCCCTCCTTGGACTTGGCAATGACCATTTGGGCTTTAAGAGCATCCTGTTCAAGGGATTTCATCCTGTCTCAGAAAGGAGGAGGAACGGAAGGAGAAAAAGACATCAGACATTGCTTTCTCTATAAGAGATGAACGCCGTCTTCTGTGCCCAGCAGCTGAACCACAGTCAACAAGCTGAGCTCAGAAAGGCCAGACGAACCCTCGGTTCCCCGCAGCAGACAGACTTTCAGAGCAGGAGAGAACAGCTCAGTTTGCTGCCATCAGACGTTACTGTCCTGAAATGCACACGTTGTCACGTGTGCTGAACAGAGCCTGGAGCTCAGCATCAACCCACTGAGATGCTGGAGGCCTTCCCAGAGGCGCCGTGTGTGACAGAGAGCAATCCAAATTGAGGAACGTGAAGGGGAACTGCCAGGGCTCAATGTCTAGGTGAGCTTTCAGGGCTTTACTCTCCTGTGTTCTCAAGTGTGCCACGCTTTATCCCTCTGCTGCCACTGGGACATTAAATCACCTCTGAAAAAGGGGGTTCAGCCCTCACAAACGCCGGCTCCCACCCAACCAGACAGACCCAGCGTCCACCCATCATCCCCACTGACTGCCAGTAGTCTGTGGTACCTTAGGGAAATGAACTCCAGCACCACTGAATCCTCCCTAGCCCTACAAGGACGCAGCTGGGAGCACGGTGTTAGGATGGGGGACACAGACAGGACGGAGCATGCAGCTGGCAGGGATGGGGCTGTGCACACCTGGATTGGTTTCCTGACCCAGGGGTTCTCGAGGCGTGACTCTGCACTGGACTAGGCATCTGAGCTGGCCTGGCCCCGGGAGCAGGAGCCCATTGCCGGGACTGGTACAGCTTCCTGGCCAGATCCTGCTCGTACTGTTTAATACTGTCTTCAAGAGTTGAGGATCTGAGGAGGAGGAGGAGGAGGAGGAGGAGGAAGAGAGGAAGAGGAAAAGGAGAAGGAAGAGGAGATGATGGTAATGAACATTACAGTGGACAAATACAGGGAGAGAAAGAAACAGATACAGGAACATACCCTGGCAAGGAGAAATGTATGTCTGAAAGGGGAGCAGCCATGGTTACAACAGGCTCCTACACCTCGTCCTTCCCAGCACCAACTGCTGCAGAAGAGGGCAACCTGGATGATGTGCCCAGAAGTGCTTGCTTCAGAGACTACATGTCTAGAGAACGCCCTCCTCACGTGCTGGGAGGACTGGAAACATCAGCAGATCAGTGCAAAAGGCTCAGCAGTGGCTGCAAAGAGGTTTGTGTGTGTGTGTGTGTGTAAAGCTGACTGATGGAGTACAGGGCATGAGCACACGTGTGTGCACGCACACTTCATCACCTCCATGTACGCTGCATGCTCATACATATCTGACCATCTGTCAGCATTTACTTTTGTTTGACCATTGTAAAACAGGATAACTGAGTTGGAAGGAACCCATGGCAAGCACTGAGTCCAGCTCCCGACTCCACAAAGGGCAAGGTGAGTGTTAAACCACAACTCTAAGAGCATTGTCCAAATGCTTCTTCAGCACTACTGACGGGTTTGGAACCACGACCACCACCCTGGGGAGCCTGTTCCAAGCCCACATTCTGGTGCAGAATCTTTCCCTCACCCCCAGCCTGACCCTACTGACACAGCTCTGCGCTGTTTCTTTGGGCCCTGTTGCTGTCACCAAACAGCAGAGATCATAAGTTGGCTGTGGGCTGCCACGAATGAGCTGCAGGCTGCCACGAAGCCTCCCCTCTGTCTTCTCTCAGCTGAACAAACCGTGGCTGCTCCTCATACATATCACAGAGTCACAGAATGGCTCAGGTTGGAGGGGACCTTAAAGATCATCTAATTCCAACCCCCTGCCTTGGGGACAGTTGCCAATCACTACATCAAGTTGTACAAGGCCACATCCAACCTGGCCTTGAATGCCTCCCAAGATGGGGCATCCACAACTTCTCTGAGCATCCTGTTCCAGTACCTCACCACCCTCTGAGTAAAAGATTTCTTCCTAACATCTGAACTGGATTTCCCATCTTTTAGCTTAAAGCCATTTCCCCTTATCTTGTCACTATCAGATGGTGTAAAAAGTTGATCCCCCTTCTGCTTCTGAGCTCCCTTCAAATATTGGAAGGCTGCAATGAGGTCTCTCTGGAGCCTTCTCTTCTCCAAGATAAACAAGCCCAGCTCCCTCAACCTTTCCTCACAGGGCTGTGCTCCAGCCCTTTGATCATCTTTGTGGCCCTCCTCTCGATGCACTCCAATATTTCCCTCTCTGGTCCTTTAACCAACTTTGTTGGTTGTCCTCCTTTGGGCACATTCTCTTATTTTTATATCCTTCTAATACTGTGGAGCTCACGTATGCTAGGCAAAGTGAAGCCACACCAATGCAAAATGAGCAAGCACAGAATCACAGAATCACAGAATCACCCGGGTTGGAAGGGACCCCAAGGATCAT